CTGTAATAGTTACTATACGATTTATGAAAGAATTAATGATGAGGTATTAGCTTAGTAGGATATAGCATAGTATTAAAGGTCAATCATTAGATTATATAAAAATTAAAGTTTAGACATAGGAAACTCATATGAATTATAGTAAAGTTTAGTAGTTTAAGAATAAGTTTTAACTGAGTTATAAGGCATTACGTTAAATCATAATAGGTTAATAGTATAACTGACAGTTAAGTCATTTAACTAAACTTATAGATTATAGTATAGTGTTAAGTTGATAATATTAATTGTTAAAAATATTGGGAGTCAGTGAACTTGGATTGAACCTAGAGTTAACTTAGAAAAGTTTTTTGTATTAATCAAGGTATAGAACAAAGAGTATAATATGAATGATTCATTGAACATTATGGAAAACACTTTGAACGATTTGTATTGAAATTGTGCACCCGTGACCTTAATGTAAGCACGGCAGGCATTATGGAATTCGAATTGTTTGCTTGGAAATTGCAGATCTCGTGGTCGTCTTGTGATGCATAGTTTGTAAAGCACGGAACTTGTACGCCCCCAGTAAGTGATTATCACACTGCTGGAGGGTATAGAAAAGGGTATATAAGTTGGAAGGAGTTCGAATAAAATTTGGCTTCAGTCCTGATCAGACTGTTCCCAGAAGAGCTGCCTTCGAGTGGTCTCTTCTCGCCGTCTCCTGATTCTCCGGTGCGGGTCCTAACCCTTCCCTCCAAGGTCAGAGCGGGACTCCGACACTTGTCCTTTTTGGCAGGTGGTCTAAGTGAACCTACTCACAGAGCAGACACTGAGGGTACTCATAATAATGGATTTTATTTGTTACTGAAATAGGGCAACTTTGTGTGGCATTATTGTTCATTAGTGTATTTTTTAAAAAGAGGGATATACTGGTCATGACTACTGAAAGTTAATGAGCCATGGAGTTAATTAGTGAGCTTTTGATTGACTTATTTTTCAGGAATGACCCTCCCCACTTATTTATTTTTCAAACATTGCCTTTGTGTATGTGTGAGATACTGAATGTGGTTCTCAGTGGTTTTCAGCCGTTGAGATTCTCTTCAAGATTGCGGTCACTGACATTTAGAGTTCAGTATCATCCAGACACTTGGTTCCCAGCCTTGGCTTCCCATTGGAGTCACCTGGGGTCTGGGTTCCACCTGCAGATCCTTACTTAATCAGCATTGACTGTGACCTGGACACTAGTTTTTTTTTAAAGCTTCCCAGATGACTCTATTACACAGCAAAGCTTGAAAACCCATTAAACTAGCTTCACCCCCTCAACTTAAACCTGAACAACTGAAGCCAAATGAGGTTTTGACAGCAGGTTGGACCAAAGAGTCTGAGTCACTCTTGATAATGGTCAAAGCCTGGCACTCTATAAAGCTTAAGTTCATCTAACAATCATAACTGCCTCTATTTTTTGCATTTTCTGAAAACATAGGTCACCCAGGGCTCCACCTGTGCTGTGTTTGGCCTGGGTGGAGTTGGCCTGTCTGTTGTCATGGGCTGTAAAGCAGCTGGTGCATCCAGGATCATTGCTGTGGATATTAACAAAGACAAATTTGCAAAAGCCAAAGAGCTGGGTGCCACTGAATGCATCAACCCTCAAGACTACAATAAACCCATCCAGGAGGTGCTCAAGGAAATGAGCGATGGAGGTGTGGATTTTTCATTTGAAGTCATCGGTCGGCTTGACACCATGGTATGTACCACAGCGTGCCTTGGAATTTCTGCCTCTGCAACTGGGGGATGTTTTTAGGCAGAAGAACAGAAATAGTATATATAAAGAATATTTTTAAAATAATCAATGGCAGTTTCCCAGCTCTTACTAAATCTTTCATTCCATCAGCTAAGCAAACCTGTCTCAAGTCATATTTACTCATTAGAAAAAAAGACTTATTTTTCAATTGTGCTATTACAGATATATTTTGTTAATTTTGAGTAAAACATTGGACTCAAGTAAATATATATAAATTATATTCTCAAATTAGCATATTTTATTTTTCTCCCTTCTTAACAAAAAATCACTCACAATTGTTTATGTGTTTTAATCAACTTTGTTTTTTTTTACATATTATTCTTTGGCCAAAAGTAATGAGTAATTTTAGGCCAAGTATTATCTTATTAACAGAAAATATACTCCGAGTAAAGTGACTGCTTCAACTCATTCGCACATTCCTATATTTTACCACAGAGACAGCAAAGTGCATGGCACCTAGCCTGTACCCCAATATCTATGTTTTCAAAAGTCAACAGATTTTACCACCCCAAACTGTAAGTGCTACATGTCTCCTAGTATTGTTTATGGATTACATGGAATAATGCATGTAAAATACTTAACCCAGTGCTACCTGTCATGTGATAAGCTCTTAACAAATGTGGCCACCATTGCTGATTTGAAATACAATTTTCAATCTGGCAGGGTCACAGCATCTTTGGAATAGACATGGTATTACTCTCAAATAATTACAAGTACCACCCCTTGCAATGGGAAGCACATCTCCAGCTCTAGTTCACCTACCCAGAATTCTCTAGAATCATACTGAAGAAGTGCCCAGAGCCCGACAAGTGCCCATGGCTGAGTTTGTCCAGTGCATCCAGGAGTGTGGGTAACAGGGAGCAGCACCCTGAGAATGAGGCTCTCTGCAACCTTGACTTTATGCCACAGGCGAAATTTCAACAGAATTCAACCTTTCCCAAGCTAGGACTTTCCTCCTTATGCTCTTTTTCTATTGATTTTCTTCCATTTTCACATGTAGTACTAGATTGTCACCTTATCTGAAGATACCAAATGTCTGATAGCCATGTTTTGAGGATATCCCTTCCAAATGTCAGAATTTAAAGTCATAGGACTAATCATTACATGACCTGGGGGGACTCTAAACCATTTTCTTGCTTCATAACATGATCAGAACTGAATAAAGGGAAGACTGCCTTTCTGTACTGTCTTTTCAGGATCCAGAACAAGAGATGTAGTTCAGTTTAGGAACCATTAAAAAGGGAGATCATCAGGTGGACATGAGACAAATTGTAATGATGGAATCATTATACCTTGTTCACCATCAACTATCTGGGTCAAAGTACTGAGTTCAAAATACCAATTTAATAAATCAATATAGAATGAAATATTAAGTGTGTATTTTGAGCTCAGTACATTGAACCAGATTTTTTGGTCATAAACAAATGATTCCATCATCAAAATCAAAACTCAGACATTGCCTGACAATCATGTGATGATGAAATAATACTGTTATTTAAGGAACCAAACTTTATATATGTTTGCCTCTTTATTACTTTTTAAAGAAGAATTCAGAACACACAAATTTATTCATTCATTATTGTATTCAACCACTATTTTCTGGGCAATTTCTAAATTCACAGCACTATCCTAGACACAAAAGAAAATGAAAAAGCAAAAGACATCATCTCTTCCCCCACGTACACAGAATCTAGTTAAGGCAGCTGTACACAATACCATGTACTATGAGTAACTATCAGAGTCTACTTTGTGTTATGCTAAATACTGATTATATTCCAGATGGCTGCCCTACTATGTTGTCATGAGGCATGTGGCACAAGCATCATTGTAGGAGTATCTCCTGCTTCCCAAAGCTTCTCGGTGAACCCTAGGCTTCTACTGACTGGACGTACCTGGAAAGGAGCCATTTTTGGTGGTATGTAGTTAAACTTGAGGGCCAAACCCTCATGAACCTCAGAATTTCTTCTCTTTTACAAGACAAGACCAGATTTTGAAAAAAAGCAACAGGATCAAAAATAAATTAAAATTCTGGTTGTATCTATGGGCTCCAAATAAGCTAGATATGGAACTAACGTAGACAGAAGGTCCCAGAGAGACTTCTGTTGGTATCATCATTAACCAAGACCTTTCAGCACCACCTCTTTTTATACCTGTGACTGCATAAGGCACAAAAATTTCTAGTAGGACACAGGAAATAGTTAACAGTAATTCATGTCTACATCCAAATTTAGATAACTGCTAAATGTGTTTCTTGACTTTGGGTGTAACCACTAGTACTATAATTTATCTGTGAGAAAGCTAATAACTAAATACCCTTGTCTTTGGGAGTTTTTTTTTTTTTTTAAGTCAAAGCATCTGTGGACTGCAGCACTTAACGTAAATTTTTATTGTAATTTTATTTGACAAGTCTTCTTTCCAATTCTTCTATTTACGTCTGGCTGAATCTAACAATAATATTGTCTACTTCTCAGGCTATAAGAGCAAAGATTCTGTCCCCAAACTTGTGGCTGATTTTATGGCTAAGAAATTTTCACTGGATGCATTAATAACCAATGTTTTGCCTTTTGAAAAAATAAATGAAGGATTTGAACTGCTTCGCTCTGGAAAGAGGTAGATATAAAGGTTTTTTTTAATGGTGGGTAATGGTTAGCAGAGAATAAAGTAGAAGGATGAGAAAAAACTGCAGTGCCTTAGTTTTCCATTACCGCTTTGGTCTTTACATGTAGAACATCTAAGATCATTTTGTGAGAACCTAAGAACAGTTGCTTTGCATTTCCTATCTTGCTGAAGCCACATTTTAGCTATATATGTATGATCAGAGCCACTCAGCTTCTTTACAAGTGAAGCTCACCTTTGTAAAAAAAAAAAAATCTAGTCACATGACTATAATTATAACATGGAGTCACTGAAGTCTCTGCCTAGCCACATAAATAAGGCTGGCATTTTATGGTAGGACAGCACCAATACTTTCATTATAGGAGTAGGTAGAACTACATTGGTATTGCTTTCTAAACAGCTATTTCTAAAGTTTTTTTTCTGCAGTTTGGAAAGAATTATTTACAAATAAAAGTTATTGTAAAGGGGAAGGATAAAAAACACTGTTTTAAATGTTTGTCTTACATTTTCTGTAATGTTTAGAAAAATAAGCAATTTCATTTTTACCTCTAACATTGAATATATTCAGCCATCTAAAACAGTAACTAGGCCACTACACTTTTGCAAGGCACAAATGGTAACAGGCAGTTACATCCAAACCCTGCTTTCTAGCTCCACAGTCTATGCGTTTTCTGCTACCCCATACTTCTCATGAGGTTTTCAACTGCAAATGTATTTCTCAGGCACTCACCAAACTGTAATGATAAATACTTCATGTGACGAACATTCTTAAGAAACTAGCATCCACAGAGCAAGATAAGTGTCTTATCTGCATTATATCATGTGATTCCCAAACATGCTGATAGGCCCATCCCAAGTTCACTCTATTAGAGAGGAGAAAACTGAGACTCAGAGTAGACAAGACTTGGCCAAAATCATGCAGGTAACAGACAGGTGAGCCAGAATCCAAAATTAGATCTAGTTGGTAGCAAAGCCAATTCACTTTCTAGTAATCCACACCACCTATTAAGAGAATATATATGTATGGAACACAGTAGTCATGAAATGTGAGTTATTGTTGTCATCCTCGTCGTCATAATCACCATCATCATCGGGTTGGAAAGATGATGGCAAATACACAGATGACCAAGACCAGAGAGCAGTATTGAGCAAAAAAAGAATTTCTAACACATGCTTAAATTCTCATAATTAAAATGCCATATAGATAAATAAGCATATTTTAATTAAATGAATCCTTTCAGCTAGCAAAGATTAGCAATTGTTATGCTCAATATTGGTAAGATTAAGATGACATGGGCACTTTTATATGCTGCTTTTAGTAATATTAAATGCTATATCCTTTTGGGAGAGCAATTTGTAATTTGTATCGGAGGCACTTAAAAATTGAGATATCCTTGTTTCAGCAATTTTATTTCTGAAATCTATTCTATGGAAATAATAAAATATTCAAACATATGTATATGTTTAGGCATGTTTACCTGTTTATCTATAATATAAAAAATAGAAACATCATAAAAGTCAAACATTCAGGAAATTAGTAAATAAATTCCAACCATTTATTAGAAATCAATGACGCTATTAAAAAGAAATGACTTTATTTGGGAATTCTCATGAAGTAATATTAGGATCATAAAGAATACAAATTGGACATACAACATTATTTTAAATTTTCAATAATAACAGGAAAAAATGTACATATGTCTAGAATGAAGTTGGTAAAAATCCAGGAACACAGTAACAATGGTTATTCCAATTGGTGAGACTACAGATAAGTTTTGTTTTCTTCTTTACACTCCTTGTATGTTCTAAACTATCTATGTGTATTTCACTTATATGTATATCCATATACATGTAAAATTGGGTTTTTTTTATAATCAATATTTTTTATTATGATTTTGTGGGGTACAGTTAAGGGTTAGGTGTACAATTACATTTCATTCAGGCATCCTGTTGATAAGAGGTGTTTCCCCATCCCCAGACAGATATTTGCAACTGTTAATCCCATCCCCCTCCCCCCCATAGTTTCCCAGTACCATCAGTCATTTTCTTATAGTATTACATTGGATGTTCAAGGTCCATTATATGAGTGAGAACATGTGATACTCAGATCTTTGTTTCTGTGAGAGGTCACTCAGTATTATAGACTCTAGTTCCATCCAGGTTGCTGCGAAATTCATGATTTTGATCTTTTTTATGGCTGCATAGTATTCCATCATGTATTTATACCACATTTTTTTCATCCAGTCCTCCTTTGATGAGCAGCATGGTTGTTTCCAGGTTCTTGCTATTGTGAACAATGCTGCGATAAACATATGTATGCAGGTATCTTTTTTCATAGAGAGATTTGAGGTCTTCAGGGTATATTCCCAGTAGGGGGACTGCGGGGTCATATGGAAAGTCGATTTTTAGAGCTTTTAGGAATTGCCACACTGCTTTCCACAGAGGTTGCACTAGTTTACACTCCCACCAACAGTGTAGAAGTGTTCCCTTTTCACCACACCCTCTCCAACAGCTGTTATTTTTTTGAGTTGTTGATAATCGCCATTCTGACTAGAATTAGGGGATATCTCAGTGTGGTTTTGATTTGCATCTCCCTGATGATTAGTGAGGTTGAGCATTTTTTCATGTGTTTGTTGGCTGCTCGGATGTCTTCTTTTGTGAAGTGTCTGTTCATATCTTTTGCCCATTTTATAATGGGGTTGTTCATTTTTTTCTTTTCAGCACATTTGAGTTCCTTGTAGATCTAGGATGTTAAGCCTTTGTCAGACCTGGAGTTGGCAAAAACTTGTTTCCCAGTCTGTAGGCTGACTCCATGCTGTCTTGATGGTTTCTGTGGCTTTGCAGAAGCTTGTCAGTTTAATAAGGTCCCACTTGTCTATCTTCTCTCTTATGACCTGTGGGTTTCGAGTTTTGTTCAGGAATTGGATGCCAGTTCCAATTTCCATGAGGGTATTTCCTTCCTTTTCTAAGGTTCTTATGGTTTGAGGTTTTACATATAGGTCTCTGATCCTTTTGGAGTTAACCTTTGTGCATGGGGATAGATAGGGGTCCTGTTTCAATCTTCTGCATGTGGTCAGCCAGTTTTCCCAGCACCATTTACTGAATAGGTTCTCCTCTCCCCAGTGGTTAGTGGTGGGGGCTTTGTCGAAGATGAGTTGGTTGAGAAATTGTGGTTTTGCTTCTCGAATCTCAATTCTATTCCATTGACCCATATGCCTGTTCCTGTACCAATACCAAGCTGTTTTGATGATTGTAGCTTTATACTAAAGTTTGAAGCCTGGTAATGTGATACCTCCTCCTTTGTTTTTTTGGTTTTTTTTGCTGAGGATTGTTCTGGCTATTCTCAGACTTTTGTGTTTCCATATGAATTCCTGTGCTGTTTTTTCCAGGTCTGAGAAGAATGTTGCTGGTAATTTGATGGGTATTGCATTGAATTGTAG